TAATGAATTTAACGATCCTTAATTTCAAGAATTCAGTCATTTCGTCGAGGTTTCGTAGACGCGTCTTCTTCGAAACAATTTAAAAAAGAATGAAAAAATGATTCTTCAAAGATTCGCTTTATAAAGATTCAGCCTCATAAATCCGTCATTTTTACAAATTCGTCAGTGCTAATGTTAAAGTTCTGTTCTTCTATTTCCAAGCGTGCGTACCTCGAACCCTTTCATTAAGTTCCTTTCGACAACGAAATCACGCGTTTCGCAATTGATCCGCGGCAGCGTTTAAACGGCCGCGACTCGACGAAGAAAAACGAAACTCCGCGTCGCTTATTGGCGACAGCGAACTCACGGTTGAATAAATTTCACGAGTCGAAAGCATTGCCGATTGAGACGAAGCCCGACTACGCGGTAGACTCCTCATAAAAATTCGTGGAATCGATCTTCCCGAACAAGGGAGACCGAAGGATTGTTCCCCGGGGCTGAATGGCTGACCTCTCGAACGTTTCGCGAATTCGATGAAAGTTTTCCCTTTTTCTAGCCGCCGAACAACGGATCGAGCCGGGTCGAGCGGGGCCAGGCGGGGGACGAGGGCGCATGCTCTCGGAAAATTCGCAGGAAACTCAATTTGGAGGTACAACGCGATCCGGTTCGCGTTACGACTTTATTCTCTCCACTTTCATAGTTTCGCCGCGCGCGGCGCCGAGCCGGGCCGATATTCGCGAGAAAAAAAAACGGGCCCGTCGTTTTTCTCCGGCGTCGCTCGCGTTTCAGAAATTCGCTCCGTGCAGATTCCGCGAGACGCGGCGCGGCTTCCCGAACAATTTCTTCGGTGGGTCGAATAACGATCGACCATGACGACGGGTCATGTCCTCGTGGAATTCTCGCGCCGACGAACGATATTTTCGGGCGAAATCGCTGCAAATATTCTCTCGACGCTGTCGCATCAATTTGGAAATTAATTCGATGAGATCGTGCTTTATTGTACATTGTCGTAGGAAATTGTTACGTTGACTTTTTAGCAAAATTTCTCGAAATCGCTGCGAAATATCCTTCCGGCGCTGTTACGTAAATCGACGAATCGATGACGATTAGGCTACGGATTTTATGCACTTATGGCAAAAATGGGCAGATCAAATAGCAATGAAAAGAGTGAAGAATTAAAAAACATTGTCATATTATTTCCAACTGTCCAGAATGATTAAGTAACGAAATAAACGTCTAGATTCGTCCCGCACCGTCGAATCGATGCAAACAATTTTCACATCGGCATTCGTTATTTTCAAAAATGAGCAGATCAAACGCATATCAGTGAAAACAGTGAACAATTAAAGAACACCGTTATGATATTTCCAACAGTCCAAAATGATTAAGTAACGAAATAAACGTCTGGATTCGTCCCGCATCGTCGAATCGATGCAGACAATTTTCACATCGGCATTCGTTATTTTCAACTGTCTAAGAAATAAACGAGAGCGAGACGATCTTTATTTTTCATGAAAATCCGCATCGCAGCGCCGACGAAAGCTATTCGAGCGTTCTTACATTTTTTAATAGTTCCGGCAAAGGATCGAACGTGCGCGAAAAGTTGTGCCCGAAGAAGCACAGCATTAGCTGTTTACGACTTTAGTTTTCCGTCTGGTTCAGCGAGCTCTACGGGAACACGGCGGGCACTCGAGCTTTTCCGACGGGCTTGGGATGAAAATGCTTGATGAGCCGGCGCTAACGACGCTGTCCTGTTTCCCGGCGTCGCTGGGCGATGCGGCGCTACATCGAAAATCGTTTCTCGGGCTGAATGAACAAAGCGACGCGGGGTTGGCAGCAGATTCGACGAGAGGCGACGCGACGTTGGCGCAAGGTCCATACGTCGTCCGTCGCGTGCGTTATCGAGCGCGGCTACGACGGTCCAGGATGGATAGCTGCTCCTCGTTAACACCCTCTCCGGCTTCGTATCGCTCGACGACAACGCGCTCGGGATTCCGTCTGTCGCGCGAAAGATTAATCGCCGCTCGCCCGACTCGCCGGATCCCGGGCGCTCGCGGCCGAAAAGAACAAACGTGATCTACGAAATCATAACCGTCGAGGCCCAGCAACACGCGCCGCCGTTGGTCAAATCGTTTACCGCAATCGCGACGGAGAACGTACGTACGTCACGCGCGATAAACGGAGACCCTCGACGAACAAATCACGGCGTCGTTGACGTCACGAGATAACAAGACGCTACCTGCGCCGAGATAAGTTTCCCACTTATCCAAACGAGATTTCAAACCGATTGGAAGATTCGACGGAAATTCCTGTGCGCGCTATTTCTAATTGTGCGCTATAATTAATTCGTGCACGTACGCAAATTCTATGTGCTTTGCTCGCGACCCGTTTACGTTTGTGCTGAATCGATGCTGCAATCAATTACGTTCGTAATTACGGCGGAGACATTCGTTCGATCTCCACGCGAGATTGGTCACCGAACGAACTTCTTCGCGCATAATCAATCAAGAGCGAACCGAATCGACGGCGAATAGAGCAGAACCAGTATCGACGGAACAAGATAGATATCGTGAAACCGATAAGAAAACGCGATCAATAGCGAAAGCGAAAACAACATCCGTTGGAACCAAAACGCGACTTTTAACAGCCGTTTGATAAGTCGCCAATGTTACATTAGTTGTTACTGAATTGCGGATTTTCTGCATTTATGGCAAGAATTAGTAGATAGAATTTAGGACAGTGTCAAGATTAACCCTTTGCAGTCGAAGCTATTTTCATTCGAAATCCAAAAGATGTTTTCTGATCTACAATATTTCCATTTCATATGATTTAATGTAGTTTATGCATTATGAAATTGACCCTATTGTAAAGTAAAATACTCTTGCAGTTTTAACAGATTTTTAAAATATAGCAGATCTGGCACTGTTGCAATTATTTATGGTATAATAATTTTTAGCAGCGCCTCAAACACGCCATTCGAGAGTGCAAAGGGTTAAAATACACCGAGAACGTTGACGCATTAATCTGAGCATATATACGAATCGTTAAAGAAAGAAAAGAGAACTCGCGTGTTTGGCACTTATGTCTCACGATAGACAATATTTATTTTGCAGAAAGATCCGCGGTCTAGTCGCCGCATCGTTCAAGCACACTTTTTAACCCGCCGCGTTGTAACAATGAGTCGGCCTCGCGACGAAGATTTCATACATAGTCCACTAAATACGAATGCCATTCTTCTAAATCTCAAGAAAATTCGAAATTCTTCTGTTTTACAAAATCTAGAAATGTAAATGGCAAACATGGAAGAAGCAAAAATCGCCTCGTTCAATCGGGCAGATTATCGCGAGCGAGGAAGCGTTAATCGACGCAGCCGCGAAAGGAATCGCGGCGCGATGGGGTTAATACAGGGTGTCCCAAAAATATCTCGCAATCCGAAAGTGGCGGGTTCCTCAGGTCATTTGAAGCAACTTCTTCCTTTGCAAAAATTTTCTCCGAGGCACCGTTAACGAGTTATTAACGAAAAATAGTGACCAATGAGAGGCGAGCTCGGCTGGCGCGAGGCGACCGAGTCAATGAGCGGAACTGGGCTTCGTGCGCTGGTCGGCTGGGCCGCCTCGCGTCAGCCGTACTCGATTCTTATTGGCCACTGTTTTTCGTTGATAACTCGTTAACGGTGCCTCGGAGAACATTTTTGNCGGAACAAGATAGATATCGTGAAACCGATAAGAAAACGCGATCAATAGCGAAAGCGAAAACAACATCCGTTGGAACCAAAACGCGACTTTTAACAGCCGTTTGATAAGTCGCCAATGTTACATTAGTTGTTACTGAATTGCGGATTTTCTGCATTTATGGCAAGAATTAGTAGATAGAATTTAGGACAGTGTCAAGATTAACCCTTTGCAGTCGAAGCTATTTTCATTCGAAATCCAAAAGATGTTTTCTGATCTACAATATTTCCATTTCATATGATTTAATGTAGTTTATGCATTATGAAATTGACCCTATTGTAAAGTAAAATACTCTTGCAGTTTTAACAGATTTTTAAAATATAGCAGATCTGGCACTGTTGCAATTATTTATGGTATAATAATTTTTAGCAGCGCCTCAAACACGCCATTCGAGAGTGCAAAGGGTTAAAATACACCGAGAACGTTGACGCATTAATCTGAGCATATATACGAATCGTTAAAGAAAGAAAAGAGAACTCGCGTGTTTGGCACTTATGTCTCACGATAGACAATATTTATTTTGCAGAAAGATCCGCGGTCTAGTCGCCGCATCGTTCAAGCACACTTTTTAACCCGCCGCGTTGTAACAATGAGTCGGCCTCGCGACGAAGATTTCATACATAGTCCACTAAATACGAATGCCATTCTTCTAAATCTCAAGAAAATTCGAAATTCTTCTGTTTTACAAAATCTAGAAATGTAAATGGCAAACATGGAAGAAGCAAAAATCGCCTCGTTCAATCGGGCAGATTATCGCGAGCGAGGAAGCGTTAATCGACGCAGCCGCGAAAGGAATCGCGGCGCGATGGGGTTAATACAGGGTGTCCCAAAAATATCTCGCAATCCGAAAGTGGCGGGTTCCTCAGGTCATTTGAAGCAACTTCTTCCTTTGCAAAAATTTTCTCCGAGGCACCGTTAACGAGTTATTAACGAAAAATAGTGACCAATGAGAGGCGAGCTCGGCTGGCGCGAGGCGACCGAGTCAATGAGCGGAACTGGGCTTCGTGCGCTGGTCGGCTGGGCCGCCTCGCGTCAGCCGTACTCGATTCTTATTGGCCACTGTTTTTCGTTGATAACTCGTTAACGGTGCCTCGGAGAACATTTTTGTAAAGGAAGAAGCTGCTTCAAATGATCCAAGGAACCCGCCATTTCCGAATTGCGAAACATTTTTGGGACACCCTGTATCCTCGCGCGAACGAGCGACGCGGGACTTAGGGACCCCGTTGAATTCGGTGAACGAAGTTTGAATATTCGATGCGGCAGCAATAACCGTTCGTTCGTTTGTCGCAGGTGCTTCTGTTCCCGGAGGAGGGCTGGGCGAGAAGCGCGAGTAGTTCCTACTGGACCTTGACGCCGTTCTGGTGGAGTCGAAGTCGGTGCAAGGTCGTCGAAGTCGCTGGGACCAGGAGGTAAGTGGTAAGTGGTAAGTCGCAGCTCGTAAATCGCGGTGTCGAACAGCCGGGAAGCCGCCGGGTCCGGTTCGCGGGTTGGGGCGTCGCGACGCCTGGACGGCACGTACGGCCCGGTTACGTCGTCGTCGACGTCGTCCTCCGCCGCGTCGCGACGCTCTCCCTGTAATCGTATTCCCGGCGCGGCCGAAATTCGAGCTTTTGTAGGCTACGTGGCTAGAATGTCCATTTCTCGCTCCGGTCGCCTCTATTCTCTCGCCATACGCGCGCCACGGCAGTTCAGAATTACAGGGACAACGCGCGCGCGTCCGAAACTTCGCTGTCCTCTTGTTTCCCTTTCGCAGCTACGGATTATCAGGTTATTCGTGCGAGTTCTCGCGCCGCGTTCGACGCGTCCCCCAATTTCCCTTCGGTTTCCGCCGGTTTTCGATCCATCGATCACCGGTCCCCCCACCGTCCAGGAAACGCCGGAAGAGCCGAATGTTATTCCGAGGCTTTCATGAATTCTCGACATATCGCTTTGCCGCGCGAGAAGAGCGACCGCGTGTCGGCCGCTTTTCTAGATACATTTCCTGCACCGCCGCGGCTTTTATGCTCATATTTAACCATAACCTTATGATCCTCTTTTGTCACGCCTTGGCCTGGAATACGGATCCGTAACACGTCGAACCATGGCTGACCTATATCTTGTGTACTTTATTAGCCGTTTCATTTTCTGCTCCGGCATTCTCGGAAAGTTTTCATTCGATGCACCCTCTCCCTCTCCCATATTCGCGGCATTATGCAACAGTTCTCTACCTGAAACCCGCTGCGCGCTTTACTACCATAATTGTCTGAATCGTCTTCTTCTCTTAACTTCAAATCAGCGCCAGCGCTTGCTCGAATTCTTTTGTAGCCTTTCGTACTCGGACTATTAAAACCTACGCTATCGTTTACTTGATTTCGTTTTCTCCTTTTCTCCTCCAGGCTCCTACCTCGTTCTCATTTATTCTCTTATCGTCTTACCCCTTTGTACTGTTTTCTTTTTCTTAATCGCGATATCATTTTTATTACTGACTTTATTCTTTTACTTTCGTTCTTTCTCGACGCGCTGTTCTGTGTCATTTACTCCGTTCGCGACACTTCGTTTAATTCTCGAATCGCTTATTTCTTTCTTGTTGCGTCTGTAATGTATATGTGTATGTAATACGGGGACTAATCAAACAAACCAATTATTATTATTATTATTACTATTATAATTTCGTCTATAGATAGTTTTGAGTAAGATAGGAGGAATGCGGATTTGATGCATTCGCGAGAGAAACGAGCGAGATATGAAGCAAAAGTATCGATACACAGTCGATGGAACACGTGAGTTCGTAGAATACAGCATGATTCGATTGCTAAATTTAATCTTTACTTATTTGTACAGTAGATGCCGTTGTTAAATCGCTTTTAATACGTATTTAGATAACAAAGAACTCGGATGTGTCGAAGGCTCGGATAATCGAGATCGTATCACCGCAACGAACAGAGAACGTTGGCCTTTGTGCAAAATAAAATATGTCCACACGAATTTCCGGACATACGAGCCAACCACGATATTTCGTTGTTCTTTAATAATTTCGTCAAGCTCGAATCAATACGCGAACGTCTTCTTAACTTCGCTACTGATCTTCTCACCGTTTCAAATTACACCGGTCATAAATGCATAAAGCCCGCGATCCAACCGTGAATCACGGTCACGAGGAATCGCAGTCTACTCTCGTCACTTCTCCCAATATTTGTACAACGCTGTGTTGTTGATCCTTATCGCGCAACCCGCGCGATCTTCTTCTTCGTCTGTCTCCGGCGGACCGAATGCGGTTTCACCTCGGCCGGCGTTATTTCCACGGGCTTTTATCATCGTCGCCGACCGAGACCGGAAGTCGCGAGAGTCGGGCGTTAATTTTGCAAACGATTTAGGAACGAGCTCGTAATCAGTGGGTCGATGGTCGGCTGTCGCCGCGCGGAGCTGCGCGACATCGGGCAATCGATGGCCGTAGGTTAACGCGTCGCAAACGGGCCCGGTCGAGCATCGAAAGGGTGCTCCGGTTGGCAGTTTCCTTTGTGAAGCGAATCGAGGACCGGAGGAAAAGTCAAAGCACCAGCCATAGTGGATTTTAAACCGAGTGTTGGATCCGCCGCACTTCAATGGAGGGCGTTTAAACTTTTAATGATCGTCGCCGACTGAACCGCTCGCCGGAATAAGCCCCTCGAGCCACCAGGGAAGCTCTCTCTCTCGCTCTCTCTCCTCTCTTCTCTCCTCTCTCGACGGCCTCCTCGGCTCTCCCACGCTCTCTCCCACGGTCTCTCCCACGGCTCGCCCCCTGTGCGCGCCTCTCTTCCACCCTCGCTCGTACTTCAGCCGCTCCTTCCGCTTCCGAAAACGGTCGAACCGTTTTCTCCTCCGTCCTTCTTCCCTCTTGCTCCAGCTATTCCCGCCCTCTCCCATTCGGCCCTCTCTCTTTCGGCTCGCCGTCCCGTCTCGGCTTTTCTTCCCGGTCCTGTTTTATTCATCGTCTTCGGACGGCTACGCGCGCGGAACACGGCCGAGCCGAGCCGCGCCGAGCCGCGCCGCGTTTCGCAATTTTGCTACCGGCTCGAGCCGATCCCGTCCCGCGAAGGGGAACAGGGCCTCCTCGGGAACCTGGTAATCCGACGACAGAGCGTGAAATATCGGGCCGGGGGAAATAAAAGCGGGACAAGCGAGCCTGCCGCGCTCGCGGAACCGTGTCGCGTCCCGGCGCCACGCTAATCGCATTACCGATTTACGAGACGATAAAACGCTTACAAAGACCGACTAAACGCGCGTTCATTCGGCGAGCGACCTGTCGGACGTCGCCGACAGCTGGGAAATTTTCGCCCGGCTACGATATATATGTATGTACACCTGGAAAACCGTGCGCGTGTCCGGACCGGGCGCCGATGCTGACGTCCGCGATTTCGGACTCGCGTAATTACTCGCCTCGGATAAATACTGGCGACGCGAATCGCGCGCCGCATTGCTGCTCATCGCTGAAAGCCGCGATCGAGACCGATATGTCGGCTGTCGGATGTACGTGTGTGTGTATATGCGTGTGTGTACCGTCCACGGGACACCGTGTTGTCGTTGTGCTTCGTTTGACGCTCACTAGATTGATCCGTGTGTTTCAGGTACAGCACTCAGGCGAAAATGGTGGACACTGGGACAGGCACGCTTTACATTATCGGTTCCTTTAAGAGAATGACAACCGATCCCGATTTCAAGGTACCGCTTCCACGATATTTCCCGTCGATTTCCGATTTAGTTTGGGGAAGAGACGATGTGGGAGGCACTGCGGGCCGAACAATCGCTTTGGTTTGTTTCCCGGTGCTGAGAACTGTTGATAAGAATTTAGAGCGGACTATGCTTTAGGTTTTGAAGCAGCAGAGTTGGGTGTAGGGGCGGCAGAACTATAATATATTATAGTATATTATAGTTATAATTATATATTATATTATAGTTATATTGCATATAGTAGGGGCGGCAGAACTATAATACATTATAGTATATTATAGTTATATTGTATATAGTACACGCGGCAGAACTATAATATATTATAGTATATAATAGTTATAATTATATAACTATAATATAATATATAATTATAACTATAATATACTACAATATATTATAGTTCTGCCGCTCCTACGTCCAACTCTGCTACATATGCTAAACATGCTAAAACATAGTTCACCCTAAATTCCTATAAATAGTTCTCAGCACGCGGAAACAAACCAAAGCGATTATATAATATATTATAATATATTATAATTATATAATATATTATAGTTATATATTACATAGTTGTATTATAGTACTGCTACAGTACTATAATATAACAGAAATATAATTAAATGAAAAGAAGAGAATCACGAAAGACATAACAAGACGAAATGATAAGATACAGAGAGGTGAAATGTGAATACCGTCGATTTCTTTGTTTTTATGAAAGATCGGGTCGTCATGAATGTTAAAAACTTTTGTACACAGCGAAGTCTCCCTAATTTTCTTGCTCGTAAGCTTGTAAACGGCAATGAAATATTTCGGAAGAGAAGATACGATTATCCGTGCACCTTGTTTTTTGTAATTATCGACGATCGACAACTGTAAAATTGAGCCGCGATGTTTCGCAAGCTCAAGCAAAATTACGGAGAATCTGCTGTATCCTTTTTTAAGCAGGTCGACACTTTGAAAGCCGCATCACCCAGACGGAGACAAATCCGTATCATCTTCCTAATCCGATCGGGATCGGCAAAGCGCGGGAACGTTAAAAAACCTCGATCGACGGTGAAAAATCAATTTCGATTCGGCGAAACGATCGATGCTTTGATCTCGCGCAATTTCTGAGATTGTTTGCGCGTCGAACAACCCGTACGGCGCCGCGTGCACTTATAGCCGGATGATCGACGTTCGAAACGGTACCAGGTAGAAGCAACCCTTTCACGTCGCGTCTTCCTTCGTAGCGGGTCCACGGGGTGCCGTCGGAAAGAGATCCACGAGGTTGAACGTTGTCGCGGGGGGCGTATCGGGGCGCGTTAAGATATTCACGAGCGGCGACGCCGGTGAAATTCGGTAGACAAGGGCGCGGCGAAACGGCGCGTAAAGCCATTGAATCTTGACCGATATCGACGCGGGGTGCTCGATGGAGATTCGGCTTCTTTCCGGTAGCGGCACGTAGACCCTAGAGAAAGAAGAGGCTCGGGGTCGAGGGGTCGCGCGGGAGAAGAAACGCGGAGCGTGGTACGGAGCGCGGAGAGGCGAGGCGAGGCGTGGAGAATCGAGGCGCGGCGCGGCGCGGCGAGGGAAGAGAAGGCAGAAACCTGGGCTTTTCCGAATGACCCAAATCCTAAAGTGGCTTCTATTGTGCGGCGACGGTGTAACGTATGGACGACATAGAAATTTATGACGCTAAAGCGCGACCGTCAGCAGCACATAGACCGGCGCAAGGTACGAGCACGAGCCACGAGCACGGGCCACCAGAACGAGCATAAGCGGCGAGCTCTCCCTTATGCACATACTCGTGCGATATGTGGCCGCGGTTAGATTAATGGGGACGCGACGGTGTCGTTGTAACGAACGCCTATCGAGCGCGCGCGCGACCTCGAGCAGGTTCGTTTCCGTTGTGGGTGGTGCCCGCGATCTGAAACGTGGCCCGTTTCTTTCTGTCGACAGTTGTACCTGACGTCGAACGTCTCGTCGAGCGACTTCAACATGGGTTACAGTATGACGGGCACGCTGGAGCGCGGCTGCAAAAAGACCAACACCTTCCAAATGACTCACTTCGCGGTGATACGTCGGCGAGACTACGAAAAGGCCTACGAGGATCCGAACACCACCTAGTGTCCGTCCACGCCCACGCTGTCCGAGCGTGGGGATTGCGAGCACTACGCGTGAGAAAGAGAGGGGAAGAGGATGGACGCGTGTGCGCTGCGGGGCCTGTGCCCGCTCCGGCCCGTTCCAGCCCGCTCCAGCCCGCTTCGGTCCGCTTCGGCCCGGTCGGCGCGCGCGCCCGCACACCATCGCCATCATCGTCGTCGTCGTCGTCTTGTCGTCGTCGCTGTCGTCGCTGTCGTTGCCAGTTGTCGTCGTCGTCGTCGTCGTCGTTGTCGTTGTTGTCGCTGTCGCTGTCGCGATCCGAGCTTACAACGAGCGAGCGTAGATGTAGGCGGGCCACGCGGGGCGAGCAACCGTGAAACAAAAAGCAAATGTCAAACGTCCAAAGGTAGTGTTTAAAACGAATATTAGATCGAACGAGATATAATAGTTTGTAATTATAGCGACGAACGATACCTAAATGCCGTGTACGCAACGCGAAGCTGCGCGGTCATCGAGGATACCAAAAACGATTTTCCAAAGTATTAGCATGTAAGGTCGTGTCGGAGAAACGGACGGGGAACGGGCGCCGCTCGACGCTCGCCCACGGTTTCCTATGCAGCAGCACCCTAACGGCGATCGCGTTCCGCCACCCGTCCGTCGTTCGCGCGCGAAATAATCCCGAACGGTGAACGTGTTCCAACGTGTTCACCTCGGATATCGGTACTATGCTCGCGCCGCACAGCCGACCGATCGATCCGATCCGATCGGTGACGCGGCCGCGAACGACACACAGCGGTTTCAAATGCGATTCTGGCTAAGCAAGATCTTTCTCATCGTTTTTTACTTCTCGCCGTACTTATCCCGGCAACCGCGCCGGTCTTTAAAACTCCGTTCCCATACAAACTGCGATATCAGCGTTTCCATTCCGTTCCGAATTGCGGCAACACCGATAAGTTGAAATTGAAAGCCTGTAACCTGTCTGTTCTAGCAAAATTGTAAGAATTATAGGCGATCTTGTAGGAAACGGTTGACTGAATTTCTCCAATCGAGCAAGCGTTGCAATTGGATCAACGATCTTCGTGCAAAATGGGAATTCGATGCATCGTCGGTTGCGCAAGAAACGAGAGTCGGAAGTGTAATTATCCTCTATTCTTCGACTTATTGAATCTTTCTTTTGTTATAACCTTGACATAATCTTGACTGAATCGGTTGATTCAAGCAAGCGTTGCAATTAGATCGCCGATCTTCGTGCAAAATAGGAATTCGATGCATCATCGGTTGTAAAAAGAAACGGGAGTCAGCAGTGTAATTATCCTCTCTCGAATAACTTTCGCGAAAACAGTGTATCACCATTCTTCGACCTATTGAATCTTTCTTTTGTTATAACCTTGACATAATCTTGACTGAATCGGTTGATTCAAGCAAGCGTTGCAATTAGATCGCCGATCTTCGCGCAAAATAGGAATTCGATGCATCGTCAATTGTAAAAAGGAACGAGAGTCAGAAGTGTAATTATTCTCTCTCGAATAATTTTCGCGAAAACAGCGTATTACCATTCTTCGATCCATCGAATCAGAAATGCATAAAATTCGCAGTCCGTCGTAGAAACGTACGAAAAAACGCAACAAAATCGTCATTCTCGCGTCAGCTTTTACGTACGTTCGGTTACATTATTCTATGCATCCTTTCTAACCGTTCAACGTTTCACCAGTTCACGTGGACGACCTCGGCCCGTTCACGGTCTAATCTTGATTTCCGACGCGTTGCACAGCTGGAACTGCAATTTGGAGCAGTGTGCGACCGGTAGCTTGTAGCGCAGCCGGTTTACGCGAGGCGTTTTCGGGCTTGGCGCGCTTTGCGTTTTCCGCGAGCTTGCTAGCACCGTCACCGCTCAAACCAACGAACCGCGCCCCCCCTCCTCTCACCCCCGCGCGGTTCGCTCGCGAGAACGAGAACGAAACGATACGATACGAAACGAAGCACGGAACGCGTGTGTGTGCGTGCGTGCGTGCCTGCGTGTGTGCCTGCGTGAGCGTGTGTGCGCGTGTGCGTGCGTGCGTGGATCACGCACACTCAATCCGAGTGACAAAGGGATCGTCGTGAATCGGTGCATAGTTCGCGCGATACTTATTTTTGTTAACGAGTAGAAGAAGGTTGGCCGCGTCACGACGCGTCCCAACGATTCGGGAACCGCGGTGTCGCGATCGTAGTAGAACCGGCCCGGCCGATCGCGATCGCGATCGCGATCGATCGGCGCACACCGACTCCGTATTCGCCGAGACCGGCACGGGATCGAGACGATCGACGATCGCGATCCGGTGGCCGGCCGGGGGCGTGACCGCGGTTTAGACGATTTTTGTACTTTCGGCTTTGCTCAAACGGCGCGTTAGACCGCCGGTAAACCACGGAGGACATTTAGCTGTAAGAAGCGCGTAAATACCCTAGATCGTACGAAATGCGTGTTCCCCGGCGATCGACGGGATGCGCGGCTCCTACAAATGGCCGCCGATCGATCGTACCTCCGTCCGTGGCTGCGCGCATTCCGATGGTCGCTCGGGGCAACGGTATCTATCTGCTAGTTGAAACGATAACGAACAACGCTTCTCGTCTCTTTCCACATCTCTCCGCCTCTGTTTCTGCTGTTCCTCTCGCTCCCCAACTCTTTCTCTTTCTATCTCTCTTTCCCTCTCTCTCTCTCTCTATTCGCCTCTCTCATCCTCCTTCTCTCACTTTCTCTTTCTCTCTCTCTTTTTCTCTATTTCTCTCTCGCTCTCTCTCTACTCATCTCTCCCTTCTCGATCTTCCTCCATGCGTGTGTTCATCCATCCATCCATTCATCCATCCATCCATCCGTTCGCGTTCCTGATGCGTGTTCAGCCGCCTTTTCCGTAGATCGGTAGCACGATTTCGCACGGCAAACGGGAAACGATCGAGCCCCCGATCGTGGCCTGGCCGCCGTTTAGCCGTTACACGTTACAGGGTTCAGCGGTTTTTTCGCGATTCGGCGGGGACGGGACGAGCGACCGCGCGCGTCGTCACCATGTTCGGTCTCCACCTCTGTCCGGTCTGCTTCGCGATTTCCGCCGCACGCTTCTACGTAGAGAAAAAGAAAACCCCCGCGTCTCCCCGGTTGTTAGAAACGATTCTCGCTCGTTCCCTCGACCCGCGAACGCCGCGTAGAAAGTCGCCGCGCTTAGATAAAATGGGCAGCTTGAGAAATGTTCCGAGGCATCGCGTCCGCGTTCGCGGCCGCGCCTCGTTCCCCGCGTCGATAGAAACGTCGCGAGAATCGGCACGGAACCGCGCGAGCCGCGCCGGCGAACGTGGACGCGGCTCTCGATCGGTGTTAGACACGGTTCTCGTGACAGAGAGAAACGCGCAGAGCTCGGTGTGTTCGTAGACGCTCGTAGAACGGCCGCGTAGAGCCGGCCCCGTAGGTGTTCGTGTTAGAGACGCAAAACGCTTCGTTCGACGCATCGGTTAGGCGGTTTAGCGGAATCAGCAGGTGTGGTAGGCGGAATGTACGCGAGTAGACGGCGCGGCGTGGCCCGGAGAAGTTTTCGCGGGATCGCGAAACTGCTCCGGGACCGCCTCGTCCGTGATCTAGGTTCACGCTTTTCGTAGTGCTGGCGGATAGGCGATAGATAGATAGAAAGCTCGTCCTCGCTTGTTGGTTGTTGTTGTTGATACACGGTTTCGGTGTGTTTGTCTGTTTTCGGCGTAGCCGGTGTCCTAGGTAGGTAGCGGTTTAAGTGAACGTACACGTCCGATATCACGGTCCCTCCTGACTACTTAGCCGTAGCTTGGGCCCGGTGCTGCACGGCTGCTCGCTTCCCGAACACGGAGAAGCGCGGTCTTGTCCGAGAGAGGAGGAGTCCGGTCGTCTATCTTCGCCGGCCGTGCACAGGGTCTCTAGTCTGTTCGAATCTGTTCGCGTTCCGCGCCCCCGATCCGGGGACCGACGGCCGCGGGACCAGCGCGACCATAATCGCGCGGAAGAACGCGCGTCCGGTGGCCGGACGCGGGCCCGGAACCGGCGGGAGTCTCTATCCTCCGAGTGTAGCGAAATTGTAATCGTAGGGTGTATCGTAGCGGTCGTAGATGAAACAAGTTAGTTAGTGTCGTCGGTATCGTTATCGTTAGTGTTTCTAGTCAGTATCGTCGTCGTCGTAGTAGTCGTCGTCGTCGTCGTCGTTTGTATATCACCGCCGCGGCTCGATCCCGTCCGACGGCTTCGGGCCCCGTTCGCCGCGGCCCGCGAGACCATCGGTCCGGATGGTAAATTTTATTTTTTATAGACGGCACCGAGGCGTCGACGAAACGGCCCGCCGTCGTCGCGACGGATCGATCCACGGGTTCGCAGCAGTGCCCGGGCGATTGTCGCGCGGCCGGAGGGCAGCGCGCGGCACGGTAGAGAAACTTAACTCCTTTCTTACGAATTTATAGTCGACGTGTCTTCGAGCATCCTCGACGTGTCACGATCAATTGCTCAATAGCGATAGCGATTTTGATTTGCGATCGATAAGCCGCCGTCGCGCGCCATTCATTGTCTCCGGGAACCTCTTCGCGGATTCCCGCTCGAGAGAGAAATCTCGGTCAAGCTTCCTCCGTACGCGCGCGTAGAGATAACAACGACGTTCGGCTAAAATTAGACGACCGTTCAAACAATTTTCGTGAACAGCATTTGATAGCGAGTTTTCTACATTCGGTCGATCATCGTCTCGTGTCGTCGCGAGTCTCGGTTCGGAATTCGTCGCCGAACGGCCAGGAATTTCGCGCCGACAGCGATGCGAACGGAACGAACTTCTCCGCAACGAAAGGAGATTCGTTGATGAACCTCCGGTCGCGTATCGAGCGAAAATGATTTTTACGTTCACGTGTCGATGATCTGAGAATGACCAGCGAACGATTTTGTTCCGGAAGCGCGATTCGAACGGCAATGAAACGCGACGGTGTCGCGCAGACGGGAAACGGCGACAATCGTCGAGGCACTTCTGTTACTTGTTCGTTTAGAATACGATAATCGAGCGTAGCCAAAGATAATCGAACTCGGGGCGCCGAGTAGGCGCGTACGAAAACGTTCTAGCACGTTAGGCCAACGAGTAGGCGATTCCGGGATCACCGACGGACCCTGAAGATCGCCTCGGGCCGATCCCCGGAGCCGTCGAGTCGCACTCTCGCACCGTAGGGAAACGTAGTTCGTAGCCGTAGTTAGATGGTCAGAAACCGCTATTAAACGCTAGTACAAGCATGCCGTGTAGGGATTAGTCTGTAGAACGCGCGTTATTAGCCCGTTTTTATTCTTAGTTCCGTCTCGATCCAATGATTATTCTTGTTCCGCCACAAGCAAACGATACGAATACTCTTTTTCTCGTTCAATGTCTCCGTAACGTCTGTTTCACTCGTATCTCGTTGTAATCGATGTTTCGTAGCCACTAGAAGTACCACGATGTAACACAATAGCGATAAGAGCGCGGACGTTTAATCCTTATCGTTCGCGCGTACAGAACAGATCCGTATATCCGCATATATATATACACACGTATATATATATACATATATAAATTACACATATATATATGTGTGTGTGTATATATGTATTGTAATCGTATCGGTCTCTCTTTCTCTCGAAGGAGAAGAAGAGGAGGAAGAAGAAGAAGAAGAAGAAAATAGGAAACCAAATGAGAACACGAAGAAGAGATAATACGAAAGGAACATTCGTATTCAAAGCTATGGCTGTGATCCTAATTAATCGTGGAACGGTTCGTAAGAAATATATACATATACATAATATACGTATACATTATATTATATTGTATTAAATTATATTATATTATATTGTATTATATCTGTCTCTTATACACATCTAGATGTGTATAAGAGACAGGATCTGTTCTGTACGCGCGAACGATAAGGATTCTGTCTCTTATACACATCTAGATGTGTATAAGAGACAGGATCTGTTCTGTACGCGCGAACGATAAGGATTCTGTCTCTTATACACATCTAGATGTGTATAAGAGACAGGATCTGTTCTGTACGCGCGAACGATAAGGATTCTGTCTCTTATACACATCTAGATGTGTATAAGAGACAGATATTATATTGTATTATATTATATTATATTATATTGTATTATATTATATATATATTATACACAACACGGATATATACATACAATAAAATCGATTACGACCGCGACGCACACGCAGCGACAAGCGACAAGCGCCGATATTTTGCCAGATGGTTGGTTTGCGTTCCGCGAAACATTCAGTTTCTGTTCCCGTCGGATTTATTGGTTCGCACAGGCTGGCCGCAATCGTCCCCGCTTTCACAAAGGGGGGAACGCGTTTTCCTTTTTCCTGTCAGGTGCTAAGTGGTGGGAGTCCGTC